GACATACCCTAAGAGAGTCATATCTAGTCCCTAACCAGCTAGTACTTAGGTTTTTACCATCTTCATTAGCAGCAGGCCAATGTGTTTTATTCTTGTTCATAGTAGCTGCAGAATATACCCTTAAAACAGGCAGAAGCCCACCCTATAGATTACTGCCTTGCACCAATGAGATTAATTGTGCAGGGAATTTCTATTCATCCTTTTTGCCCTTTCTTGTTGGAGCCAGGACACTGTTTATTAATAAACTGTAAAATGTAATGAAACTTGCCAATAACAGACAACCTCTCTAACATGAACCACTCAACAAAATTGGTGAAGAAAGCTTGTCAAGGAAACCTTTAGGAAATTGATCTGAAGAACACTGTTTTCCTGTTTTGATTCATTCCTCCAGTTTCCAATTTGTCTTCCATTTTTAAGCAAGGTCTTCTATAGTGGTTGGCAAGCTAAAACTAAATGTGTGCCAAAGTGCCCAGGATTCTCCAGCAGACTGGAAATTCTGCAGCAGCTACAGGGGGTATGTCTACACTACCCTCCTAGTTCGAACTAGGAGGGTAGTGTAGACATACCCTGAGAGAGGAGCCAGGTTCCAGACTGGCAAGGACTTATGACCCCACTCTCAGGGAGGCTTTGCAGCAGGCTGTGCAATCTAAATCTTATTTATAAAGCTTTATACATGTAACTGCAAAGATTTTCAGCTCTTTAACCAAATTTTACATCCCTAAATCAAATCTAAAAGAGCATCTCCCCTTGTAGCATTCTCCACCTCTGGAATAAAAAAATGTTTTCAATACATTTCAAGAACTTGTTGGATAGTCTGTATCCTTCTGCCTTATTTTCCCAACATGTGTCTGGGTAGTTGGAAGTCCCCCATCACCACCAACCCCTGTGCTTTGGACGATTTTGTTAGTTGTTTAAAGAAAGCTTCATCCACCTCTGTTACCTGGTTAAGTGGCCTATAGTAGAACCCTACAATGACATCTCCCTCACTTTTACCCCTTTTATCGTTATCCAGAGGCTTTCAACAAGTCTGTCTCCTACATCCATCTCAACGTTGGATGAAGTGTATGCATTTTTATTATATAAGGCAACAACAGCTCCAATTTTTCCTCACCTGTCCTTCATAAGCAGACTATACCCTTCTATACTTCCAAGTCTCTGTGATGCCAACTATGTCATAGTCATGTTCATTTACTAGCATTATGAGTTCATCCTACTTATTCCCTATACTTATCATACTTGTATACAGGCATTTAAGATACTGATCTCCCCACTGCCCATTCCATCTGTTTCTCCTTGATCTCTGCTCTTACAGCCCATACTACCCACATTTCTGACCCTTTCCCCAGATTTCCATGGGTTTTTTTTTTTTTTCCTTATCTGTGGGCTTTGGTCACCTGCCCCCTTCATACCTTGTGTGAGGGATGTTCCCCACTCTGGCACTCTGAGTGCAGAAGGTGAGTGCCTGCCGTCACCCCCCCCCCCCCCCCACTCCAGAATAATAAATAATACACAGATTTTTGGGGAATCACTGCCACCTTCAAGTGTGGTGGTTTTTGTTTTGTTTTGTTTTGTTTTGAAATCCCTAACCAGGGATGAACACTTGAAACCACTCCCAGGGAAAAGAGGAAAAATAAGCTGCAGTCTTTGGTAGCTGACCCCTGAGTCTGAAGCATGCAGATACACAGACAGACCTTCTAGGACACAAGAATCAAATAATCACCTTAAAAAGGTGATTTAAAAAAAAAAAAAAAAAAAATTATAAAACAAAAGATAAACTTGATAAAACATACTTTGTTGCTAGATGTTACAGAGCAATTAAGGAAAGCAAATTAGAACACAGAGAAGTCTCTGGAAACAGTCTTAAATGGTAAAGAGGGAGGGGAGGCATAGATTCACACAGAGCAGTTCAAACCAAACCACAAAATAGAGAGATTACCCTGAACCATTTTAGATCCATTTTTTTTCCCCCTTTTACTTCCAGTGTCCTCTTCGTTCAGTCCACTCCAATGCTCCGAATTCCTCGGAGGCCTGGTAGTCCTGCCTGGATTTAAATAATTCTTTGTCTCTCAACTCCCTTTTTTTTCTCTTGCCACACAAAGGCTATGCCTAGACTACGTCCCTCTTTTGAAAGAAGGATGTAAATGAGCCCGATCAAAAGTGCAAATGAATCACAGATTTAAATATCTCATGCTTCATTTGCATATTTGTGTCCAATCGCTGTTTCGAAAAAGGGAATTTTGAAAGTCTAGACTGAGGTTTCACGTGGTTCTTTAAGGGGAGAAAAAAAAAACCCATGAAGACAGAGGCAAAAACAGCATTGAGTACTTCAGCATTTCCCACGTCATCTGTCACTAGGCTACCTCCCTCGTTCAGTAAGGGTTCCAAACCTTCTCTGACCACCTTATTGCTAACATGCCTGTAGAAATCTTTCTTGTTACCTTTTACTTCCCTTGCTAGCTGCAATTCCATTTGTGTTTTGGCCTTCCTGATTACATCCCTGTACATGCCCAAGCAATATATTTATGCTCCTCCCTAGTTATCTGTCCAAGTGTCCACGTCTTGTAAGCTACCTTTTTGTGTGTTAACTCCCCAAGGATTTCACTGTTAAGCCAAGCTGGTCACCTACCATATTTGGTTTTCTTACTGGGATGGTTTGTTTCTGCATTTTGCTTCCCAAGGGATTCTGCCCATCAGTTTCCTGAGGGAGTCAGTCTGCTTCTGTGAAGTCCAGGGTCTGTATTTTGCTGGTCTCCTGTCTTCCTTTGGTCAGGACCCTGAAATCGACCATCTCATGATCATTGCTGTGCAGGTTGCCACCCACATTTACTTTTCCCTACTAATTCCTCCCTTTTTTGCGAGCACAGGTTAAGTTGAGCATGGCCCCTGACTGGTTCCTTCAACACTTGTACCAGGAAGTTGTGCCCAACGTTCTCCAAAAGCTTCCTAGATTGTCTGTGTATTGGTCTCCCAGCAGATGTCAGGGTAATTGCACTCCCTTTTGAGAACCAGGGCCTGTGAGCTGGAAACTTCTGTTAGGTGTCTGAAGAGAACCTCGTCTACTTGATCCACCTGATCTGGTGGTCTACAGAAGATCGTGACCACGACATCGCTCTTGTTACTCCCTCCTCTAAACTTAACCCAAAGACTCTGAACAGGCTTTTCACCTGTTTTATACTGGAGCTCTGAGCAATCATAGTGCTCTCTTGTCTATGGTGCAACTCCTCCATCTTTTATTCCCTTTAATGACAGTGCTCCAATCATGTGAGTTGTCCTGCCAAGTCTGCATTATTCCAATCACATCATAGTGATTTCTTATCTCTTGTTTCCAGGGCAGCATAATGGTTCTCCTTCACCATTGGGGGGAGAGGGGTTGGGTGTAGGCGTGGAGTACTGCCTGCTGCCAGAAGTAACTGGCACCCAGTGTCCTCTCTTTGACAGAGCAATCTCCTCCTCCTTCAGTGATGTGAAGCTGGATAGCTTCCTATGCTGGTGAGAAGCACACGGGATCTTTTTCCGGGGAAAAGGCAATATGCTGTGTTTCATCACGATAAAGTATGAAAAACAGCACGCACGCACGCGCACACACACGTCCTGCAGATGATTCATAGTTACTAGTCTGCCATGGCTCAAGTCAGTCTTATTGGCCAAGTAAGATTTGAACATGAGAGAAGAGTTGAGGTTTATCAGTGGTGATTTGAGGCTCTTCTGAGGCTTAGCTTGAAGGACCCAATCCAGAGTCTTATGGCAAGCACACCCCATTTGAGTCTCTGGGTTTTGCAGTGTCATGCTGCAGTCCTTGAAATATTAATCTTGGGGAGTTGCCCCCAGTTACCCTCAGACATTTATGGTCAGCCTTAGTTGTGTTTTGTTTGTGGTCTTACCTTAAGGAGTGTCTGCCTGTCTTCTGAGCTTGTCTATTTTGCTAATTCATTCAGCCTAAGGTACAGTGAATGTTCTCTGATAATTTCCAAGTCTCTCAAGTCTTTTTGACCATCTGGATCTTCATGATGAAATTCACACACATTCTTGCACTCACACTGAACAATTTTACAGAGCATTCCAGACAATGGATTACATAGTTACTAAAAGACTTAGCTTGCAGTGTAGACATTGCCTAATCATGAGAAATCAGGAGGAATAGAAGCATATAGCAAATCATTATATAGGCCAGCGTGGGGAACCTTTTTTGGGGTTGGAAGCTGCTGACCCACAGAAAAATCATTTTGGGGCTGCATACAAGACAGAAGCAAAAAAGAAAAACCAAACCCTCACTGATGTGTCTGTCTTAGTCAGAGGCCACTTCCCACATTCTCCTTGCACACCAGAGCTTTGGGGGGGCCCAGGCTGATAGATTTTGTGTGCTTCAGCCCCACGATGGAACAGTGGGGGGGCAGGAGTGCTAGCACAGGCTCCACAATGCTGGGGGAAGCCACAAGCCTGGGGGGCTGGATCCAGGCAAGCTGGGGGCCACATCCGGCCTTCGCGCCTTAGGTTCCGCACCCTGATATATCATTATGTTCTTATGCCAATACTAAAATCCTGTATTTTTGGCTACATCCTTGGATGAATACAGTAAAGTCTCGGTTATCTGGCTTTCACTAATCTGACCTTCTGTTTTATCCGATGGTGCTGCCTGTCACGTGATGGCATGGGGCTCCAGGGACACTTCATACCACAAGGGCATGCAGCGCGGGCTTGACAACCCTACCTCCCCACCCCACACCTGGGGCAGCTCACACCTGTGCTGCGGATTCACCCGGCGCTCAGGTATGCTGGGCCCGTGTCCCGCTCGGGGCCCAATTCTGGCTGTCCTGCCGTGTTAGCGGCTCTGCTTTTAGGAGCAGGCCTGGACCCGGCCGGAGCAAGCAGGGAGTCCGGGCCGAGGCAGGAGGGGAAGGGGAGGGGAGTGTGTGGCGAGGGGAGGCAGGAGCGCCGGGGCCTTGGGCATGTCCAGGCATCCTGGGGGAGGAGGGAGGAAGAGGAAGGGGTAGGACGTGGCATCTGGAATCCACTGGGGAGGGGACAGCGAGTGCGCCAACCGCCCCTGAGACAAAGAGCGGAGCCCGTTTGGGAGGCTCCCCCCAGCTGCCGCTGCTGCCGTCCCTATTATTCGACATTTCCGGTTATCTGAACATTCTCCGGTCCCGTTTAGGTCGGATAACCAAGACTTTACTGTACCCTCATGGATTTCCTCATGGATAAGAATGCTCCTCAGACTAGCCACCTTCTTCTGTAGCTTGTCCACCTACTAGCTGAGAATTTCCACCAGTTCAAATTGGATGGTCCCCTGTTCCCCCGGTTTGCTAGTTTATCTTGGGAACTGGAACCTATTTAATCTAGGGCTAATATATTTTCCCTCCTCCGCTCCCCTGTACCCTCTAGCCTGACTGTCACAGGGTATTTTATTTATTCTGAAATAATGACTGTCCTGCTTGATTTGAGAAGTGGTCGAGGATCCCATCCATATGAAAACAGGTGGGAATGATCTTTCTTTGTGTTATTCGAGATATCTAATTGAAGCATCAAGTAGCATAGAATTTCAGAGGGAACAAATTATAAAGAGTGCACTCAGGCAAAGTTATCTATGCAAAGAGTGTGTGTGAGGACATGGAAATACTTTTAAGATAATTCTTAAGTGAATTAATTCAAAACTGTTGTAGAGGAAGAAGAGAAAGAATTATGATTCTGTTTAGTGATTTGTTCTGGAAAATATTGATCAGACCCTGAAGAAATTTGCCAAAATGGGGCATCATGTGCCTTGTATTGGCAACTGTATATTTTTATTTTGTGTCATTTTAGTCTAATATCCTTTACTTCCCTATGGGGCAACAATGCCAGTTTTTCAGCAGTTGCATAATGAAGGTAATTAAAAGAGTTTTGGAACAAATTGATAAAGGTAACAGTAGCAAGTCACTGAGTTCTGAAAGAACTTCAAATGTGAAATTGCGGAACTACTACCTGTGGTTTTAACCTATCCTTTAAATCAACTTCTGTAGCTAATGACTGGAAGATAGCTAATGTGACGCCAATATTTAAAAAGGGCTCCAGAGGTAATCCTGGCAAGTAAAGACCAGTAAGTCTAGCGTCAGTACATGGCAAATTAACTGAAACTATAGTAAAGAATAAAATTGTCAGATACATAGACGAACATAATGTTTTGGGGAATAGTCCACATGGTTTCTGTAAAGGGAAATCATGCCTTACTAATTGACTAGAGTTCTTTGAGGGGGTCAACAAACGTGGACAAGGGAGATCTAGTAGATATAGTGTACTTAGATTTCCTGAAAGCCTTTGACAAGATTCTTCACCAATGATTCTTAAGTAAAGTAAGTTATCACGGGATAAGAGGGAAGGTCCTCTCATGGACTGATAACTGGTTAAAAGACAGGAAACAAAGAGTAGGAATAAATAGTAAGTTTTCAGATTGGAGAGAAGTAAAAGGGAGTTACACACCTTGTGCGGTAACGACTGTTCTTTGAGATGTATGTCCTCGTGTTTGTTTGTTTGTTTGTTTCTTGATGACAGGTAGCGCGGAGCTGCAGATCAGAGCCCTGCAAAGCAGTTTCCCCTGTTGGGCCATGCATGTGCAGGAGGCATCTTGCTGCTTTCACGCCTGAAGCGAGCACAGCCCCACCTCTTCCCCTTCTATTTCTTATCTACGCCTGAGTAACTAAGACTCTGAGAAGAGGGGAGGAAAGAAGGGCTGTGGAGAACCCACAGGGACACCCATCTCAAAGAACAGTCATTACTGCATGAAGTGAGTAACTTTTTCCTCTTCGAGTGATGTCCCCGTGGGTGCTCCACTTTTGGTGACTACAGAGCAGTGTTTGATTTGGACAGTGGGAGTCGGAGTCACCGTTAGGTGATGGTGTATAAGACTGCAGTCGTCACCACCACTGAATCTGAGGTCAGTTGTAATAGTACCGCATAATGTTTGGTGAAAGTATGGTATGATGACCAGGGCTCGACAAATTATGGAAAACCCTACTCGCCAGACAAAAAAGGGACTCGCCACCCCCTTCTTCCCCCAAAGTGGCTTTTTAATGGCATAAAATCCTAATAAGAATAAGAACAGTAATTACTAATACATTCTTAATAAATATAACCCACGTTATTAATAAATATCTTATAAATTTCTACCTTTTCCCTCTGCTGCTATGTCTCCTCCCCTGTTGCCTGCTGCCCCCCAACCCCTCACCCTCTTCTGCTGTCCTGACTCCTGCCCTTCTCGCTGCCCTCAGTCTTCCTGAGACCTGCCCCCCTCCACCAGCCCTTCTCTCCCCCCTGTGCCCACTCCT